GCCCAGAGGGTCGCGCAGGTGGAGGCCTACGGGATCCGGAGGCCGCATCCGGGGGGGTCCCTCCTGCGGGAGGAAACGTCGCGCGGATGTACCCAGAGAGTTCCACCTCTGAGCAAGAAGGGACCCCTTCGGGCCCAAGGACTCCCGAGCCGGAGGCGGCTGAAGGCTCTGAACTCCAAGAGGAGGCCGGAAGCCTCACCTTGACCAAGGCAGGCAGGGCGGACGACTTCGGCCAAGATGACTTGGATTTCTAGACGATCCTGCACCTGGGAGTTCTGTTTGCATTAATATTGTGTCCACGAACCTGAGCGAGGCCCAGTGCACTGGAGACGTGCAAAGCGCACGGAGCAAGACCAAGGCCCTGCCAAGGACACAGCCCCCACCATGCCGTCCCCGGGATCTCAACCCAGAAGTTTCAGCGAGCCCCGGGGCCCAACCCATACGCAGCGTGTGGAAGGGTCACCTGGGATCAGATCTGTGACCCAGGGTGGGCCAGGTCCCTCTCATTTGTCTGCAAATCCAAGAGAGTGGCACCGGCTGGAAAGGGTCCCGTCGCATTTTTGTTTGTGTGTTTGTTTTCTGCCAGCAAGTGTTTCTCCTCCCCCGGCCCCCATCGATCTCCTGTTGTTTTTCTCCTTGGCCTCTCTTGGAACTCACCACATTTGACTTTGAGCTGCTTTTTTTTTCTAGTCTGGAATATATTTGGTGACTCTGCACATGTAAATGCTTTGGAAAAGCAGATGAATTCAGGGTCATTTAATAAAGTTTGGTCTCAGCCACAAAGTTCAAGTGTTTTCTCTTAATGCATATTTTTCGTCATAAAAAAATTGGAAAATGCAAAAACATAAGAAGGAAAAGTAGTTATTCATAGTCCCATCACTCAGAGACAACGGCTGTGAGCAGTTTGATGTATTTCCTTCTCATCAATTTCTAAGCATTTTATAGCTGAGATTATTCTTTATATACAGAGGACTTGCCAAGGCATATAAACATATACTTTTAAAAACGCACATACTTTAAAAAATTTAACAATGTAAGAGTTTGCCCCCACTTATTTCAAATAATCATAAACCTATCTTTTAATACCTGAACAATGTTTCATTATGGGAATATAAAATGCTCTGTCACTTTCCTATTATTGACCTTTTAGATGGTTTTCATTATTTTGCTCTTAAAACTTTTTTTTCCCCTGCACTTCTGATTATTTCCTTACGATAAGTTCCCAGACAGGGAATTACTGGGTCAGAGGATAGATACATTTTTAAGGCTCTTAATATCCTGTGGCCAAATGGTTTTTCTAAAGGTTTGTGCTAATTTATATCACAGATCTATCTCCTGGACATCAGTGTTTGGTATTGTTGTTAAAAATGAGAAATTTTAAAAATAGTTTCTCATTTTAATGTGGTACTATTTTAGATATATTTGAGAGAAACTAAAATTTTTTCTAGGGTTTAAAAAAACTATTTGCAAAAAAAATGATGTATGTATGCCTATTGCCCATTTTTTCTCTTCCTTCCTTTTTTTTGCGGGGGGGGGTTGCAGTCTCACTCTGTCACCCAGGCTGAAGTGTCGTGGCACAATCACAGCTCACCACAGCCTCTACCTGGTCTCAGGCAACCCTTCCACCTCAGCCTCCCAAGTAGCTGGGACTGCAGGCATGTGCCACCACGCCTGGCTGATTTTTTAGTATAGACGAGGTGTCACTATGTTGCCCAGACTGGTCTTGAAGTCCTGGGCTCAAGTGATCCTCCTGCCTCGACCTCCCAAAGTGCTGGAATTACTAGCATGAGTCACTGTGCTCAGTCCCCCATTTTTCCTCTGAGAGTCTAGCTGGTTTTTTTCCCCCCTTTTAATGAATTGATTTGCATGTGCCCTATATAATTTTTTAAAATTCTATTTATAACATATGAGATTTTTAAAAAGCCCATTCTCCACATTTTTCTAAAGCAGTGTTTGTACCAGGCCCTGCCCAGCTAGGGAGTTCCTGGATGGGGCAAAATTTCTTTGACTGGTTCTCACTGGTTTTCCTGCTTATGCCAGAGTGTTTTCTGCTGTCCAGATCTATTAAAATGGAGTCTATACGCCACCAACTACTCACTGATTGTCTAAATGCAACCACACAAAGTGAAAGGTGGCTGCCTGCTGTCTCTATATCATCTTCTTTTTTTTTAGATTAGTAAATATAGTCTATTTAAAAGTAAATTAGAGAGAGAGAGAGAGGATTCACCTCCCCAATGAAGGGAACGGAGCCAAAGCCAGGAAACATGGCCTGGCTGTAGCGCAAAGAGCACATGGCCACACCATAGCTTAGTGAGGCAATGGCGGTGGCCATGACCTAGCAATGGCCATTCGACAGATGAAGGAAATGTAGACATTCTTGTAGAATTTGAGTGTATAAGGAATGTATACTGAATATTTTAAATTTTTTTGCAGAGGTGATTCAAGTCTTTGTTTTTCCAGGTGGGGTCTTACCCTATTGCCCAGGCTGGAGTGAAGTGACAACATCACAGCTCACCACAGCCTCGACCTCCTGGGCTCAGGTGATCCTCACACCTCAGCCTCCTGAATAATAGGGACTATAGGTGCATGTCACCATGTCTAGCTAATTTATTTTTTTAAGAGATGAGGTCTCACTATGTTGCCCAGGTCTTGAACTCCTGGGCTCAAGCAATCCTCTTGCCTCTCCCTCCCAGAGTGCTACGATTACAGGTGTGAATCACTGCACCCAGTCAAAAGCCTCATTTTTTATATATACATTTTTATACATTTGGGGGATCGAGTGTTGCTGGATATCAGCTGGGAAGCTGGTGAAGACCGTGCACTCCCAGGCCACACACCAATCAGATTGAAGAGGGCACACCCCCTCTGTCACGCTTTCTTTTATACCCACAGTTTGCCCATCTGCCACCTTCTACTTACTAACAGTGTGATTTGGGGCAACTTACCAATTTCTCCAAGCCTCCAAGTTTACCCATCAGCTCCCTTCCTACCTGAGAGGTTGTGGGAGTGTAACGGTGTCATAGAGGTGGGGGGCACGTCATAGTAAATAGTCAGTTAGTGATGATTGTGACTGTTGAATATTATTTGGCTTAGGCGGTATACCCAACTATTTGGGTATGGTGTACGTACAGGCTTGTGCAGAAGTTGTCACTACGGTTTGCATGAAGCATCCGTCGGGCACCTCTCCTGTGATTCGAGGTCTCCAGTCATCCCCTAAGAGATGTCCCAACTCCTTTGTTTCACTCCCTACTGCCTTCTCCAGTGCCAGCAAGAGTAGCCCTGCCGCCTACTGACCCAGCACCTCATTAAAATGGCATTGTCCAACTCTAGTCAAGAGCATGCAACAGGAAGGGCATGGGACCTGCAACCAAAACACCTGGGCTCCGGTCCCTGTGACAGCCCTTCAGTTTCAACAGCTGTGAAATGGCTAGGTCATGTTAACCTCACTGCATTATTGAGGAAACAACATATGAAACTTTATTACACACCCGCTGGGGATATAACAATATTTTAATTGTAGCTGTTATGTATTCAATGCCTGCAATGTGTCAGGCGCCATAGTAGACTCTTTACATAAGTAATGTCCTTTAATCTTTCCAACACACGCGTGAAGTAGGTAAGTAGGCATTATCTCTATCTCACAAACGAAAAACTGAAGGATTAGAAGAGAGACATAAACTCACCCACACTCACCCAGATAGTTGGAGCAAAGCCAGGGTTTATTTCGTTTTATTTTATAGTAAGTCCCTTACATATGAACAAGTTCTGTTCTGAGATCACGTTCATAACTTCAATTTGTTCCCACAAAGTTAGCCTAGGTAGTATCCAAGTAACCCCTTCGGCTGTACAGTACTGTTTATAATACTTTTCACACATACTGTAAAGTACACAAAAGCACAACCACTTGTAGAAGACGCACACATATGAAGATGTATGCCAGACACGTGAACTAACTTATGTGTCTGGGCATGTGAACACGTTTGCATCTTTGAAATTTTGCGACTTGAAGGTTCTTATGCAGGGGACTTAGTGCATTTTAGATTCAAGGGGTACATGCTGTACATTCAAGGGGGACTGTTACCCAGATATATTGCATGATGTTGAGGTTGGGGCTTCCACTGAGCCCATCACCCAAGGACTGAGCATGGTACCCAAGGGGTGGTTTTTCAACCCCTAGCCTCCTCACCCTTCCCCCTTTGGGAGTGTCTGTTGTTCCTATCCTTGTGTCCATGTGTACCCAGTGTTTAGCTCTCACTTCTAAGTGAGAACATGCAGTATTTGATTTCCTGTTTCTGCATTAATTCACTTAGGACAGCGGCCCTCAGCTGCGCCACGCTACTGCAAAGGACATGATTCTGTTCTTTTTTATAGTTGCATATTATTTTATGGTGTATGTACAACATTTTCTTTATCCAGTCCACCATGGGTGGGCACCTAGGTTGGTTCCATGTTTTTGCCCTTGTGAACGGAGTTAAGGTAAACATACGAGTGCAGGTGTCTCTTGGGTAGAATGTTTCATGCTCCTTTGGGTATCGACCCAGTAGTGGGATTGCTGGGTTGAATGGCAAATCCATTTTTAATTCACAAAGCCAGGATTTAAACTTAGATAGTTCAGACTCTCAAGTCCACATTCTTCTCCATTGTATCCTATTTTTTTCATTTCCATTCAAGCCCTGTAAATAAATAACTTAGCCAAAGGTGGCCAACACCTTGTTGAATAAATTTACTGCAAAAGAGTGAAGTCTTAGGAAAGTAAATTAGGTGGGATTTTTTTTCTTTTCTTTTCTTTCTTTCCTTCTTTCTTTTTTTTTTTTTGAGTAGGAGTCTCACTCTGTTACCCAGGCTGGAGGGCAGTGGCATGTTCCCGGTCACTGCAGCCTCAACCTGCTGGGCTCCGGCGATCTTTCTGCCTCAGCCTTCCAAGTAGCTGGAACTACAGGCATGTACCATCACGCCCTGCTAATTTTTTGATTTATTGTAGAGATGTGGCCTCACCAAGTTGCCCAGGCTGGTCTCGAATCCATGGGCTCAGGCAATCCTCTCACCTCGGCCTCCCAAAGTGCTGGGATTATAGGCGTGAGACGGGGCACCCAGCAATTTTTTTCTTATCTGATGACATCCTGCTGGTAGAAATGTTCTACTTCCACAAGGATATCAGGAACTGAAGACAACCTGGGTTTCGAAAACTGAGGGTCAAACTGAAA